GCGGGGCGGGGGTTCGGGCGGGCACCAGCTGGGCCCGCGCATGGGCTCCGTCCGCGGCGTGTGCGGCTCGGGCTGCGGGCTTAGGGCGCGGGCGGCTGAGACTCGGTTGGCCCAGGGCTCGCCCCGCCCAGGTCCTCCCTGAGCCCGTCCGTCAGTCCAGCACGACCTGCCATTGGTGGTGCTTTGGCGAGCCCCGCCCCAGGTCCGGCCCGTCACGGCCTACTGCGGTTGGCCCAGCGACCCATCAATCAGGCGCTGCTTCCTGGCGTGGCGCGAAGAGTGGGCCAAAGTTCCGGGTTACGCAGGTTACCAGGCTTCTTCAGGGAACAGGCAGGCTCTTCTGAGTCGCGGGATACGCGTGGTAGCCGCCAGCCGCGCCAGCACCCCGAAAGTCCAAGGGCTCAGAGGGAGGGAAGTTCAGTGCGGTGTGACAGCCAACACCGCGGACGCTCCGAGCTTGGGCCTTGAGGGCTCGGAAGCTTTCAGGGGTGTCTGAAACCCAGCTTGGGTTTCCCAGGTCCCCCAAAACATCCCAGGTCCCATTCCTGCTGCAACTCCCAGTGAACCCCGCAAATCCAACCTAAAAGTTTCCAAGGGGAACGAAGTGAAGTCTCCCCCGAGCCCAAGCACTGTTGCTTCCTCTATAGTATTTTTAACATATTTTTGAAATTTAAAGAAAATGTCCAAGTACATCCTTTCCGAAAACCGAGAAGTGTTACTGGGAGGCCGCGGCGGGACTGCTGTGCCCGCTCACGTGTGCTCCAGACTTTGAGACCGGCTCGCCTAGACGTAGTCAAGAGGCGGATACCCAGAGCCCGCGGGCCGGCCGCGGGGCCACGGCCCCAGAGCGCGCCGCTGCAAGCCTCGCGGCGCAGCAAGCCTCTCATCTAGAAGGTGCTTTGGGATCGCAGCGCCACGCCCTCTCTGACGCATGTCCCGGCAACGGTTGCTAGGGGGCGGGGCTCAGACCCGGAGCCCGGCGCCCTCCTGGGAATGTTTGGGTATTCAAATGAGGTCCCGCCCCCGTTGCCCTGGCGCTGGAACCCGCGGCCGCAAGAACAGCCCGCAAGTGTTGAGAGCACCCTCAGCAGAGGGGCCCAGAGCTGGGACACTCGGGCCCAGCCGGCAGGTGAGAGCTGGACGCTGCCTGGCCACAATCCAGAGCCCAGCCATGGCCGAGATGTCAAAGGTGGGACCTGGCTGAGCTGCTCAGACCCCGATCGGGACTGGAAGAGGCCTGAAGGTCACAGAGGCAGGGTCCAGCGCGGCTCTGACGACTCCAAGGCAGGCTCTCAGTGGAGAGAGAGGGAACCTGATAAGCCAGAGGTTAACCCAACTCTGGAGTGTAGAGAGACTGAGGAGCCCCCGTCTGCAACCTGGGGATGTGGGGTTTCTCAGAACAACAGCGTGTGTAGGGCTGCGGCAGGCTCTGGCCGGAGGGAGAGTTTGGGGTCTGGGTTGGAGCTAATGGGAGCTTTGAGCCCACAGCTACCACCACTGACGCGTGAATAACAAGGATGTGGTGCTGAAATCCACGGGCCTAGCCGTGGCAGCATCTGACCAGCAGCCGCCCGTGGGCACCAACAGGAGTGACCTGGGCCCAGAGAGTACAGTGGGGTCTCCTGCTGCGTGGCAGGGCTCAGCACGGGGTGGGGGGGGGGAAGCAGTGGAGAGGTGCTGGCTGAAAATCCATGAGACTGCTGTGGGCTTTGCTGAACTGCTCATTTTGTAGCCTGGACCCCTGAGGCCCAGAACCTGGACACCTTGTCTTTCCCACTGCTCTGCCAGCCTTGCTGACCACATCTCTGACCCTGGGGCTGAGGCCTGAGGGACAGCATGAATCATTTTAATAAATGAAACAGGTGGGGGCCAGGGAGATAGCTCAGCAGCTTAAGTCCTGCCTAGCAAGTGCAAGGTCCAAAGTTCAAGCCCCAGTACTGCAAAAAGAAAGAAAGATGTGGCAGACCACATTCCCTGATTCCTTCACAAGCATTTTGTTGTGGACACAGCCTACAAATGTTCTACCTGCACAGGGCTAATCTGATCACAGAAATAGATCTGGGAAGGGTGGGTAGGGATGGGGCAGTAAAAAAATCAGCAAAACGTGAATGGAGGGCAGAGGAAGAGGAGATGGTGAACCTTCTGGGTAGAGCTCTGGCCTCGCAAGCCCCTGTGTTGGTCTAGGGTTAGGCCAGGCCTCTGTGTCATTAAGGAGCCTAGTGCAGGTGACAGGGCATGTGAGGCCACTTCTGGAGGCTGGGCACAGGAGGGACAAAATGCAGGAGGGGCTGGTGGATGGGAGACACCCCGAGCCACAACTGGGGTCCTTTCAGGAATAGAGGGAATGGCATCTGGGTGAGGACCAACTCCTCATTTGCACCCAGGGAAGCTTCTGTGTCACTCCCTGTCTTCCTCCTCATCTGGGCAGATCCCTCAGCTGAACCATCACAGGGAGTGCAGGGCCCCACCCCACCTCCTCTGTACCCACTCACTTTTGGGTGCTGGTGCCCCTGGGTACAGTGACTTGGCCAGGAGCCTAACCCAATCCCTGTCTCGCAGGGGTCACCTGTGGACACATGCTGCCCCCAGGCCTGGATGTTTGACCCACAGTGGAAGGCAGCTGCCTGCAGGTAAGGACTTGGCCAACACAGGAGTAGGTGGGGGTACCCAAGACATTGGTCCTGGGCCCAGGCATGGAAAGCATTGCATGGAGAAGGACCTCAGCCTGGAGTGCCTGGCAGAGGCTGCTGGCCACCATGGACAGCTGGCTTAGCACATCTAGGCTCCTAGCCTTTGGGCTCTAGTGAGGAGTGTTGAGCTGGCGCTCATCTTTTTGTTTTTCTTCTTTTTTTTTTTTTTTCTTTTTAGCAACTCCTGGTGGTACCAGTAACCTCAAACTTTTTTTTTTTTTTTTTTTTTTTTTTTATGGAACTGGGGATTGAACTCAGGCCCTTGCGCTTGCCAGGGACGCGTTTATTCCACTGAGCCATCTCCCCGGCCCTGGTGCTCATCTTGTGGCACGGAAGGAAACAAAGCAAAAACGGGAGGCACTGGGAGGTTTAGGCAGCCAGGGCCCTCCAGGCTACAGGTGTGAGCCACAGTAGCAGTCAGCCCTGCCCTCTACCCTCCCGGCAGGTTGTGCGTGGATGGACCCAGCCAGGAAGGGACGCCCAGGGCTTTGGCCACACTTCACCAGTGTCCAGGTGCGGGAGTTGAGCTGGCAGGGCCCGCACAATCCCTGCCCACAGAGCAAGGGCCTGAACAGGCTCCAGGATAGCCACAAAGAGCAACGGGTAGAAGAGCCCCTCTCCCCTGCCCACCTGGTGAGTGTAAGGGCCTGCTCAGGGAGGCCTTCTAGGTCCCTTTTTTTGTAGATCTGCAGCTGCCCTTAGCACAGACCCCACAGCTAGGTGCCCTCTACCTCCCCTAGGGGCTCCTAAGGCCCCAAAGCACCAGCAACCCAGGTGACACAGATATCTCCAAGCATGGTCACCGACAGGGCTGAGTTGGGCTGGGTCCCAGAGTACTTGCCGAGGCTGTTGTCCTGGAGTAGAGGAAGGGGCAGTGCATACCCAGACCACAGGGGCTCTACATAAGGAGGGAGTAGGCAAACAGGGGCTGTACGTGAGGCTTGACAATCCAGGCATAGGCAGAGGCTTCCCTGAACCTGCTGTGGGACACCAGGGTTCACCGTGGCCCGAAGCCCAGAAGTTCTGCCCAGGCACACCACATAAGCAGCAGCTCCCAGCATCCAGAGGATGCCACCCATCGTGGGCCACCTGGGGAGATGAGAAGACCCCATGGCTATAGGCACCACCAGGGTCCTCCCTCTGAATGTACCACCTGGCCCATCACATGCCCTCCAAGGTGCCCACTAACCCTAGACAGGGAGTCCAGCACCTGGGAGACCATGCTTACATTTCACACATGCAGAGAAGGCATCACCCAGGAGGCCTGGAGCAGCTATGACCAGGGCAGCCCCTGAGACACAAGATGCCTGCGTGCTTCTCATGCACAGATCCAGGGTAGGCTGTGCACAGCCTTGGGGTGAAGTCTCATGCACAGATCCAGGGTAGGCTGTGCACAGCCTTG